AATCCACTCACCTCAGCCTCCCAAAGGCGTGGGATTACAGGCTGAGCCACCGAGCCCGGCTTGTATATCTTTTGAGAAGTGTCTATTCATATCTTTTACCTGCTTTTTAATGGGGCTGTTTGCTTTTTTACTTTTAGCATGTTTGAGTTCCTTGTAGATCCTGGCCATTTATATTATGCATTGTAGTTTACACATCTTTTTCACATGCATTGTTTAATTGATTCTCAAAAAAAATTTATGAAATAGGCATAGCTGGAGTCTCACTCCATGCTTCTGACTCAGTTCCTTTTCTCTGTCTACTACACCATGCTTCCTCACCTCTGCCTTCTCATTCTACCTTCTTCTCTGTTCTGCCCACTCCTCTGGGAGGTCTTTTCTGATGACTCTGGGTCATTCTTTTTCATTTCCAAATTTCTGTTTACATTACCTACTCCACAACTTTAAGCCTTTTTGCACATTTTATTGAAATAGAAAAATATAGAAAAAGGCACAAATTATGAGTTACAGCTCCATGAATTATTAAAAAGTGAATATATAGCCGGGCTCGGTGGCTCAGCCTGTAATCCCGCGCCTTTAGGAGGCTGAGGTGAGTGTATTGCCTGAGCCCATGGGTTCGAGATCCGCCTGGGCAACTTGACAAGACCTCATCTCTATAATAAATCAAAAATTAGCCGGGAGTGGTAGTGTACGCCTGTAGTTCCAGCTACTTGAAAGTCTGAGGCGGAAGGTTGGCCGGAGCCCAGCAGGTCGAGGCTGCGGTGGCCGGAAGTGAACACTGCACTCCAGTCTGGGCGACAGAGTGAGACTTTAACTCAAAAAAAAAAAAAAAAGTGAATATAGCCAGTATGCAGATCAAGAAACAGAACTTGATGAGATCTGTAGAAGCTTCCTGATCCCCTTCTAGTCACTGCCTCTAACCAAGTTTAGCCAGTCTTCACTTTGAAGTCTGTAGATTAGTTTGCCTTTTACACATACAGTATGTAGACTTGTGTTTGTCTGTTCTTTGTAGTAATGGTTTATTCATTCTCATTATTGTATAGTATTTTATTATATGAATATACCACAATTTATTTATTCGTTCTGTTGATGAATATTTGGATTGCTTCCAATTTGGAGCTTTTATGAATAGTGTTGCTGTGAACATCCTCGTGCATATTTTTTGGTGAACATATACCTCCATTTCTGTTGGGAAGTATTCTTAGAAATGGAATTGCTGAATCTTATAGGATATACATACGTTCAGTTTTAGTAGAAACTGCCAAATATTTTTCAAAAGTGACTGCACCATTTTACGTTCCCACCAGTAGTATATGAGAATTCTGGTTGCTCTGAAACCTTGTTAACACCGGGGTAGCTGTTGTTGTTTTTTTTAAATTTGTGGAGGATGACCTTTCAGCATTTTGAAATGTGATATTTGGTTTTGTTTCTTGTATAGTAAGTCTTCTTTCTGTAGTAAATCTTCTTTCTCTTCTTTACAAGATTATGAGCTTCCTGAGGATAGGAATTCTGTTTGAATCCCAAAACCTGTCACAAGGCCTGGCATTTTGTCAGCATTTAAAAAAGAGGCTGGGCCGGTCTCGGTGGCTCAGCCTGTAATCCCACGCTTTGGGAGACCGAGGTGAGTGAATTGCCTGAGCCCTTGGGTTTAAGACCCACCTGGGCAACTTGGTGAGACCTCATCTCTACAATAAATCAAAAAAAATTAGCTGGGTGTGGTAATCCGCACCTGTAGTTCCATCTACTTGGAAGGCTGAGGCGGAAAGATCGCTAGAGCCCAGCAGGTCGAGGCTGCGGTGGGTGGGAGCGGCCACTGCACTCCAGTCTGGACGACAGAGTGAGACTCCAACTCAAAAAAAAAAATAAATAAATAAAAATAAAAATAAATAAAAAAGAGACTGAATGAATGAAGCATATGTGTATGGTATGTGTATAGACAAGGACAGAAAGGAAATAATCAGAAATAAAAATTACACCAGTGGTAGAATTTGTTCATTAAACAAATATTTTAATGTTTCCCATGTGCAACGCATTATACTTGATTCTGGTAATATACCTAGTTCTTAATCCTTATGTATTTTTTTGGTAATGGTGATGGAAAATAAGCAAGTACATAAATAAATAAGTATATAATTAAACATTATCATGAATACTATGAGGGATATGATTGGACCTGTTTGTAGGTAGAGAATATTGGGATGGTAAGAAACTACTTTTAGATAAGGTGGTTATAGAAGGCCTCTTTGAAAAAGTGATACTTGAGTATTTCAGGGTATTTTATCTCTGATAAAATATTTTTTTTTTTTTTGAGTTGGAGTCTCACTCTGTCACCCAGACTGGAGTGCAGTGGCCGCTCCCGCCCACCGCAGCCTCGACCTGCTGGGCTCCGGCGATCCTTCCACCTCAGCCTTCCGAGTAGCTGGAACTACTGGCACCCACTACCATGCCCGGCTGATTTTTTATTTATTGTAGAGATGAGGTCTCACCAAGTTGCCCAGGCGGATCAGGAAGTATTTTATCTCTTTTACAGAAAATTATTTATTGATATTTTTTCAGTTTAAACAAACGAAAACTTGAGTTCTTTAAGGGTCAGGTAAATTTTTTGGGAGGGCAAGGGCAAGTGTGGGTAGTACAAAAAAGTAAATGTGTGTTTATAGACGTGTGTAGGTGTGGGAAAACTAGATGTTGACTGTGGTGCAAGAAACATAGGTACTTCAGTAGTTCAATTCAGTGTGAAAAACTAACTCATGAATAATGGTAGGACAGAAATACAGCCGATGGTGGGACAGCCACAGAAGTAATCCATTGGTTACTCATTGAGCTATGCGAAAAGAGGAAGATCATACCCATATAACCTAATAGAAGACTCAATTCATTATACAGCTTGTTGAGACTGCTATTTTTTTGTGTTCCTTTGAACCAGTTTAAGTGCTTTGTGTTCTAGGTGGACCATTACACTGATGTGTGTGATGTAATGGGAGGTATTCCATGTTTAGTCTGTGTTTTACAAAGCCTGCTTGATACTTATGAATTAAAGCGTAAGTGTCCTTGGGACTGACCAGAAGAATCTTGACTAATCTTTTAATATCCTTGTTTGGGAAGAAAAGTAAATAGTAACGTTCCACAATTAGAGGTTCTATGTTTTCTTCTTTAAGATTTTAAAAAAAGACTTTTTCATTCCATGTGTACCATTTCTTTCTGGAATAAACCAGAGTTGAAGGTTTAACCCTCTTATTGTTCCTTCTTACTGCTTTTTGTTCTAAACATAATATAACATTACTGAGAGTTCAGAAACTAGATTCTTAAACTTATCCATAACTCTAACTTAACAAAATAACTGTTTGAGTTCTTGTGTTCCTTTCTAGACTTGCCCATGGCATTCATGTTTTTTTAAACCTATATTTTAATACATATTATAAGAATTTTTAATGTTGTTAAAAATAATAATCTCTAAAGTAACTGTGGACTCTGAGTGATAATAATGTGTCAATGTAGGTTTCATCGTGTGTAACAGATGTACTACTCTGGTGTGGGATGCTGATAGTAGGGAAGGCTGTGCATATTGGGGAAAGAGGTATATGGGAATTCTGCATGTTCTGGTCAATTTTGCTAAAGATCTGAAACTGCTCTAAAAATAGTCTATTAAAAAAAAAAGTCTCAGCCGGGCTCGGTGGCTCAGCCTGTAATCCCGCGCCTTTGGGAGGCTGAGGTGAGTGGATTGCCTGAGCCCGCGGGTTCGAGACCCGCCTGGGCAGCGAGACCTCATCTCTACAATAAATCCAAAATTCAGCCGGGCGTGGTAGCGCATGCCTGTAATTCCGGCTACTCGGAAGGCTGAGGCGGAAGGATCGCCAGAGCCCAGCAGGTGAGGTTGTGGTGGCCGGAAGCGGCCACTGCACTCCAGTATGGGCGACAGAGTGAGACTCCAACTCAAAAAAAAAAAAAAAAAAAGTCTCAATAGAGGCTGGGCATGGTGCTTATGACTGTAATCGCAGCACTTAGGGAGGCCGAGGCCAAAGGATTATTTGAGTCCGGGAGTTTGGGACCAGTCTAGGCAATATTATGAGACCTCATCGCTACAAAAAATAATAACAAGATTAACTGGGAGTGATGGTGTACACCTGTAGTCCAAGCTCCTGGGGAGGCTGAGGCAGAAGGATTGCCTGAGCCTGGGAGGTCAAGGCAGCAGTGAGCTGTGGTCATTTCACTGCATCTAGCCTGAGTGACAGAGTGAGACCCTGACTCTAAAAACAAAAATAAAAACAAAAAACAACAAAAACCTGTGCATATTCTTCTTTATTATAATATTACTAACCCAGTAGGATTATGGTGAAGAATTAAATAGGAAATATGTGTATGACATTTAGCATAGTGTCTAGCACATAATACTTGTAAATAATGGCTGTTATATTGCCAAATTTCTTTCAAATGCAGTATGAACATAAAAAGGAAGGCATTTGTGATCTGAACAACAATAATGTTGATGATGGTCGTGATGACAGAAACTTGTATTTATTGAGCACCTATTTTGTAAAAGGCACTTTACATATATTATCTCCTTTAATCCTCATGGCAGCTGAAGTTCAGTGAGTTGACTATGTCCACTGAGCTTGTAGGTGGCAAGAGCAGGTTTTAAACTTAAAATTGATTGGGAAGTCTTCCCTCACCCCCATACTGTATGTTGATGCCCATATTTAAATAGGTACTATCACAATTCTGTTTCCTAGAGTTGACTTAGATTTAGTTCTAGGTTTCCAGGGCTGAGTTCTTTTACTTCTTTAAGCATTAAGTAGATATTTATAGAGCATCCATCATGTATCAGACATCATTCTAGGTGCTGATCCTGGATCCTCTCAGTGAGCAGATCACCAGGAACTGGGTTGTGGGAGATTAGAAACATTCTATAGCCTTGGCTTTGAATCAGCTCTCTCAGATTAACCCTCTAAGTGAATGCTCAATGTTGCTTACATGCTCTGTGTTTTTATCCCCCAGTGGCCCCAGATGAGCCAGTCTGGAGCATGTGGTGCGTCAGAACAGATTCCTGGAATAGGCATGCAGCTGGGTAGGAAGTATCAGACTACACATAAGGTGAGAATTATTAGCACTTTCTATGTTTATGGAGTGCTTTTATTTATTGTATTGTATTGTATTTTGAGTTGGAGTCTCACTCTGTTGCCCAGACTCACAGCCACTACAGCCTCGACTCGCTGGGCTCAAGCAATCCTTCTGCATCAGCCTTCCAAGTAGCTGCAACTACAGGCTGACACCACTATGCCCTGCTAATTTATTTTATTTTATTTGTTGTAGAGATGAGGTCTTGCCAAATTGCCCAGGCTTGTCTCAAACCCTTGAGCGCAGGCAATCCTCTCACCTCCACCTCCCAATATGCTGGGATTACAAGCATGAGCCACCACACCTAACTGGAGTACTTTTTTTTACATAGATATTCTTCTTTGGATCTCAACAAAATTGTTAGCTAGGTTAGGCAAGGAGTTTTAGCAGATGGAGAAGGTGAGGCTTAGGGAGGTAAAATAACTTGCTTGCCTAAGGTCATAAGATAATAAATGACAGAACAACCGAATATTTGAACCTAAGCCTTCTGAGCCTATATCCTGTGTTTCTTTCATTGTACTGTCTTGCCTGGAAAACTCTTAGAAGGAAGGAGTCTTTATGAATTTTTTGCATGTTAAAAAGAAAGTAATATTTAACTTTATTTGGGGAAGCTTAGCATTAGAACAGGTTTTCCTTTGATTTTTTTTGCAAACTGCAAGACTAAAATTATTAATTACTAAAATTTGTTATACCTGTACTAAAGAATGCAAGAGTTTAAAGACATTTATTCGGTGCTTTCTTTAGTTGATTGTGATTGATTTGAATACTTTCAGCCAGTATTTTTTTTCCTTTTTCTGTTACATCAGTAAACATAGAATGTTCCACTTCTCAGAATTGTTTTTGGTAGATGGAGGTCAAGGTGTCCTTTCAAGAGTCCTCTTTTTGCTAGAACTTTTTTTTTTTTGAGTTCGAGTCTCACTCTGTCACCCAGACTGGAGTGCAGTGGCTGCTCCTGGCCACCGCAGCCTCGACCTGCTGGGCTCCGGCGATCCTTCTGCCTCAGCCTTCCAAGTAGCTGGAATCA